ACTTAGAAGGCTGAGGCGGAAGGATCGCTGGAGCCCAGCAAGTCGAGGCTGCGGTGGCCAGGAGCGACCATGGCACTCCAGTCTGGGCGACTGAGTGAGACTCCAACTCAAAAAAAAAAAGAAAGTTGAAGAACTTATTTTACAAAAAGTCATCTTTAAGAATCCTGTGAGCTGGGCTCGGTGGCTCAGCCTGTAATCCCAGCACTTTGGGAGGCTGAGATGAGTAGATTGCCTGAGCCGGCGGGTTCGAGATCCGCCTGGGCAACTTGGCGAGACCTCATCTCTACAATAAATCAAAAAATTAGCCAGGCGTGGTAGTGCGCGCCTGTAGTTCCAGCTACTTGGAAGGCTGAGGCAGAAGGATCGCCAGAGCCCAGCAGGTCGAGGCTGCGGTGGCCGGGAGCGGCCACTGCCCTCCAGTCTGGGTGACAGTGAGACTCCAACTCAAAAAGAAAAAAAGAATCGTGTGAGCAGAAAAATACTGCAGAATAACAGAAATGAGTGAGTAGCTACCTCCCACTTCATCAATACAGTGTGGTGTGTGAGGGGGTTCTCTTATGTTGAAATGGACAGAGGGCAGTAATGGAAGGTTGCTGCACTCAAACATAAAAGAATCAAATGTGGTCGGGTGCGGTGACTCACGCCTATAATCCCAGGACTTTGGGAGGCCTAGGTGAGAGGATTGCCTCAGCCCGGGGGTTCAAGACTAGCCGGGGCAACTTGGTGAGACCGCATCTCTACAATACATCAAAAAGCCAGGCTCGGTGGCTCAGCCTGTAATCCCACGTCTTGGGAGGCTGAGGTGAGTGGATTGCCTGAGCCTGTGGGTTCGAGACCTGCCTGGGCAACTTGGCGAGAACTCAGCTCTACAATAAATCAAAAATTAGCTGGGCGTGGTAGCGCGCGCCTGTAGTTCCAGCTACTTGGAAGGCTGAGGCGGGAGGATCGCCAGAGCCCAGCAGGTCGAGGCTGCGGTGGCCAGGAGCGGCCACGGCACTCATCTGGGCAACAGAGTGAGCCTCCAACTCAAAAAAAAAACCACACAAAAACAGTACATCAAAAAATTAGCCAGACATGGTGGCGCCTGCCTGTAGTTCCAGCTCCTTGGAAGGCTGAGGCGGAAGGATTGCCTGAGTCCAGCAGGTCGAGGCTGCGGTGGCCGTGAGTGTGCCACTGTCTGCCAACCTGGGCAACAGAGGGAGACTCCAACTCAAAAAAAAAAAAAAAAAGAATCAAACGTGTCAGTGATGTGCAACTTTACTGGATTGGTTAGGGTCAAATCAGTCTGTGGGTTGCCCAGGCTGGAGTACAGGGTCAAAACTCGTAGCTCCACACAGTGCCAAACCTCAGGGCTCTAGTGACCTTCCCAACTGATCTTCCCATCTTGGCCTTCTGAACAGTTGCAAACATAGGTGGGCATCACCACACCCAGCTAATTCCCTTCCGTCCTTCCTTCCTCTCTTTTCTCCCCCCTCCCTTCCCCTTGCCCCTTCCTTCCTTTTTAAAGTAGGTCTCACTATGCTGCACAGCCTCCTCTCAAATTCCTGGCCTCAAGGAATCCTCCTCAGCCTCTCAAAGCATCAGGATTACAGGAGTAAGCCACCATGCCGGCCACAATCTTACATTTTATTTCTCACTCATGTGCTCTGATAGGGGCTGAGCGGCGACCTAAATGTACTACAGGCCAGGAAAAGTTTAAGGTTGTTTTTCCAAGTGACAAAAGCTGTAGTATGCATGTAGCTTTCCACTCAGAAGCGCAAAATACAAGTCAACTGACTAATATCATTTTCCCAACTGGCAGATCCAAAGATTTTTTTTTGCGTCGCCCAGACTGGAGTGCAGTGGCCGCTCCCAGCCACCGCAGCCTCAACCTGCTGGGCTCCGGCGATCCTTCCGCCTCAGCCTTGCAAGTGGCCAGAACTACAGGTGCGCACTATCACGCCCAGCTAATTTTAAAAAATTTATTGTAGAGATGAGGTCTTGCCAAGTTGCCTGGGTGGGTCTCGAACCCTCAGGCTCAAGGCAGTCCACTCACCTCGGCCACCCAAAGTGCTGAGATGACAGGTTGAGCCACCGAGTCTGGCCAGATCCAAAGATTTGATGAGTTTTGACAAGGGTCTGGGTAAGCACGTCCTCACACACATTGCTGGTGGAGTGTACATTGCTGCAACATCAATGGACGACAATTTGGCAATATCTACCAACATGGAAATATATATAATTTTTCTTTTTTTGAGTTGGAGTCTCCCTTTGCTGCCCAGGCTGGAGTGTAGTGGCATGCTCAGTCAGCACAGCCTTGACCTGCAGGGCTCAGGCCATTCTTCTGCCTCAGTCTTTCAAGTAGCTGGGACTTCAGGTGTGTGCCACCACACCTGGCTAATTTTTTGATTTATTGGAGAGATGAGGTCTTGCCAAGTTGCCTGGGCTGATTTAGAACCCCTTGACTCGGGCAATCCTCCTGCCTTGGTTTCCCAAAGTGCTGGGATTACAGGCGTGAGACACCACGCACCGCAAAATACATATAACTTTTTTGTTTTAAAAAATACAATTTAGCCGGGTTCAGTGGCTCAGCCTGTAATCCCACGTCTTGGGAGGCTGAGGTGAGTGGATTGCCTGAGCCCGCAGGTTTGAGACCTGCCTGGGGAACTTGGCGTGACCTCATCTCTACAATAAGTCGAAAAATCAGCCAGGCGTGGTAGGCACATGCCTGTAATTCTGGCTTCTTGGAAGGCTGAGGCGGAAGGATCGCCGGAGCCCAGCAGGCCGAGGCTGCAGTGGCCAAGAGCGACCACTGCACTCCAGCCTGGGCGACAAAGTGAGACTCCAACTCAAAAAAAATATATATATATATACTTTTCTTGAGTCAGTCTCACTCTGTCTCCCAGGCTGGAGTGCAGTGGCACGCTCTTGATTACCGCAGCCTCGACCTGCAGGGCTCAGGTGATCCATCTGCCTCAGTCTTTCAAGGAGCCAGGACTACAAGCATACACCGCCATGCCTAATTTTCTTGATTTATTGTAGAGATGAGGTCTCACCAAGTTGCCCAGGCTGGTCTTGAACCCACAGGCTCGGGCAATCCTCTCACCTCGGCCTACCCAGGTGCTGGGATTAAAAGGCTCCTGTTCTATATCGTAGGCTGGAGTGCAGTGGCATGATCACAGCTCACCACAGCCTCAAACTCAAGCAGTTCTCTGCTTCAGCCTCCCCTGTAGCTGGGACTAAAGGCACATGCCACTGTGCCCAGATTGTTTTTGGTAGGGGTCTCGCTTTGTTGCCCAGGCTGGTCTAACTCCTGGCCTCAAGTGAGCCCCCCACTTGGGTCTCCCAAGGGCTGGGATTATAGGTGTGAGCACTTTACTCAGCTTTCTTTTGAATTCTTTTAATGTCCCAAATGGCAAGCAACATCTTTAGAATTTTTAACATGTTAATGATCTTGTAATCACCTGAGCCCAACAGGTCAAGGCTCCAGTGGCCATGAGCATGCCACTGTACTCCAGTCTAGGTAACAGGAGTGACTCCGAATCAAAGAAGAAAAAAAGGACATCAGCACTAGGCAATGACAAAAGATAACAGAAGGTTTTGTTGTTTAATAGACATTTATTCCTTTAGTTGAACAACCTCTACACACAATCAGTATATATAGTTTAAGAGCTATTATTTTTGAGTAGAAAGAAATTTAGGTCTCAGAAGTCTTGAGCCAACTACGAATATTTCCTGGAAACCAATTACTGAGCCTTTTGAAACTCAAGAAAACAGAAAGATTGGTTCAGAGAAATCAGCATTTGGCTTAGAAATCAAACTCATCTTCTGGAGTCAGCACACCCTGACGCCAGTGGGGCGGGGCAGGTCCTCTCCTGGGAAACCGGGGTGGTGCGCCCAAGGTAAAGGCGGGCCCACAACTGAAGACCCACCTTTGTGGAAGGGCAAGGACTCTCAGCACAACTGACCAGGGGTTAAAAAAAAAAAAAAAAAAAAGGCCCTGCAGACAACAGGTCAGATTAGACCGGAGACCGTGAACTTGCACTCACACCAACTGCGTCTGGTCTCTGCAGCCTCAGGGGGTGGGTCAAGTGGGTTGACCCAAGATGCTGTGTAGGACTGATTGGACTTTCTCCCCTTCCATGGCTGGAGGACTCATAACGGCCACAAGTTAGTGTTAAAGTACTTTAAAATCTTGATTAAACAGACTTTAATTTTCTAACCTCAAACACTTGAAAGGGATTTACCTAATGGCCACTGGCTTACCAGATTCCCACCCTAGCACTGACCACTCACTTACAAACCAAGGTTAATTCTTATTTATCTAACATCCAATCTCCATCAGCTTTAAAGTACAACAGCGTAAATGCTACTGAGGACCACGCAAAGGATTTCACAGAGCCATGGGACTGAGTCAGGAGCGATCCTGTCACATGAACCTAAGTGGTACTGGGGCGTTCTACATTAACCCAGACTTGTTTCATTCATAGAAGAGCCTCTTCCAAGTTTACTCGGAATGATGGCATTTTGTAAAGCTTTTCTTTCAGAAACAGCAGCCACACAAATGCAACACTGGATTAAATCTAAAACCGCGGGCTCTACATAACTGTGACACAGGTTAGGATGTTTTCCTTCACCCTACAAACTTCCACGCAAAATCCAACTTTCCAAGTTTGTACTTGCCAAACAAGACCCCTCAGCCACTTCCCAGCGACCCTGCAGGGCACTGCCCCCTCGCCAGTGTGGCTGTAGACCTCACCACACGCACCAGATACATCAAAAGGCTAGCTTCAGCACCCCTCTTTTCAAGAACGTATTTTACACCCATGACTCCACAAAGCAGGTTTTCAACACGGACACGGAACTCCCTAATAAGATAAAGCAAAGACAAAGAGTTTATCTTATTAGAAACAAGATACACCATCACTTAGAGTCTTCAGACATTATTGCACTTTGACTTTCAGAATTTGACAAAGCATTCATAAGACGATCTGCAGACTACTTTAACAGACAAAAACACCTTTAAGCAGACAGGACTGTCCTCATTGTTTATTGGGGGGGTTTTACAAACACGACTTGGGTTAGCGGTAGCGGTGCAGCTGCAGAGTGTTGCGCCTCCTCCAGGCCGCCCGCCGTGAGCCACCAATGGTGTGGTGGAACTTGTGGCCCTTCCCAAGGCCACGGCTCTTGCGGCCAGCAGACGTCAGCCCCCGCATCTCCCGGTGCTTGTGGACTGGCTTGGTGATCCACTGGGTGTCGGGATTTCTTCGGATGGCTTTATGGAATGGATCGATGAGGATAACCTCGAAAAACTTGTATGTGGAATCTTCACCAACCCAGTAGGAATTCAGGACTCTTAGAGCCCCACAGTGGCGTCCAGCTCGCTCCTGGAAGAGGAAAAAAGGCCAAGGTCAGCCTGTAGTATAACTCATCCCAACAACCTGACCCTAACAGACTCAACCACAGCAGATACTCAGTAAGCACCCCGCCCCCGGGGACTGTCACCAGTGGGCACGAGATAAGCAAGCTACCCAGCAAAACAAACACACTAGAGGGAACCCGCCATTTCCCGTACCACCCGCCCCCAAGGCACGACGGACGCGTCAATATCTGGCTAACAAAATGTGAGGTTTGGGGCCTTGTCTTTGTAGAAGACATCTGTGGTCAGCAAGCTTTCAGCCAGCTGAAGGACAGGTCCTCGAGTGCCAGCCCCCCACACCGGCAGCTCAATCTGCCCACCGGAGAAAGCCCGCGGCAGCGTAACGACACGCGTCCCGCCCCAAGACGCCGCCACGCGCTTCGGAGCCCGTCCGTCGCCCCCACGAAGCCCAAGCCCGCTCCCAGCACGCGCACGCCTCCGGCAGCGACCC